GGTTTCATTTACTGACACTAGGCTTGTGGTTAGCAGCCCTGGGATACTGGATTTAGGAACAAAGATCCTTTGAAGCTGTGCAAAGTGCGTCAACAAAACTGTTGCCAGAGTGAAATAGTGACATGAAAGGGAAGAAAATAACATGATTTATATTCTAGGCAAAACACATTTGAATCAGTAAAAGGTTGACTAAATAGCCTCCAAAGATAAAGTATGCCTCTAAGCAAGATTTTGTGCTGTGTTGTGATTACTGTAGCCCTTTAGACTGCATAACTCATAGTTTTAGTGTATTTAGGATAGCTTGGATAAACAGATCATGCTTTCTTCAACCAAATAACAGTGAAAGCCCTACAAACTATTGCATGTTTAGGCCTTGACAGATGCATTTCTCTGGGTGTCTCACAGCTATCAAGACGGAAACTTTTCCCCCGCTGGCACAAATGTGCACCTAGAGATACACTGTATACCTCAACCTGGTCTGTGTTGCCTCTCCTTTCCTCATTTATTTCACCCTGAAATTGTTTGTGAATTGGGCTAGGCCCTCCATCTGACTATTTTTTTGAGAAATCACAGCTAAGTCACTGAATCTCTTGCTCATGTTCTACCTCTAGGAATCTCTCAGCATCCCTTATGCTGGGCTCCTGCTTTCCTTCTGCAGGACACTCAGTGGTAAGTCGTGAAGGGAAAGAGGATACATTGTCTTCCTAACACAAGTGAAGCCTACATGCAGAAGTCAGTGGCAGCCTCTGCCAATATGCACCCTTAAAAAAACAAACCAACAAACAAACAAAAAAAAAAGAAAAAAAAAACAGGGAAAAAAAAAAGTAAAAGAATGAAATGTGAATAGATGTGGAAATCATTTTCTGTAATAGATTATTCCTATTCTGAAATATTCAATCAGTTATCCCTTGAGGTAAAAGAGCAAATCAAGCAGACTTGCATTCATTCCCTCCGGCAGAATTCCAGGCAGAATGGATGGATTGTAGTGGATTTTTTTAGATGTGTATCACATTTTGCTCACCCTGTGAAATAGCCATCAGTTTGACAACTCTATCATTTTCTGAAATTCCTTCTTTCAAGAAAATCTATTCTGTCAAACAGGCATTTTTAGAAAACTCTGAAAAACAACTAACAATACATGTCTCTATCAGAAGCTCTATAAAGCCTGTCACTAGAATGATTTTGATGTATAAATTTTTGGAGGAGTGAAATGGAGTCTTTCCTCCATTCTCATGCTGAGGGTGCCAGTGGGAGCCAGGCAGCTGGCCAGTGTTTTTTGAGAACAGTCCTGTTGCATGCTTTCTGAAATAGCTTATTTGCTAATATCTCACTGTCCTTGAATGCATGACTGATCTTTGATGGGCACTTAGGAGTTCTATTTCATATCCACAACTTTACTTTCTCACCTCTGTAAAAAGAAGCATTCAACCTGAGATGAACAAAACTGATATCTCTCAAATCTTTAACACAGCTTGAAACTCACAGTCAATTGTTTTTTCAGAAGTAATTTGCATGTCTTATCTACTTAGCCTCTCAATTTTACTGAACCTAAAGAAATTCAGAATCTTTGCAACTCCTCCCAGTATTTGTGGGTCATTTAGCAATGAAACTTAGAATAGAAAATGGTAGGAAGACGAGGGGCCTGGCAGACAGGAGAAAGATTGTATTGAATGTATTTGTTTAAAGAACTAGCACATGAGCACCATGGGAAGGCAAGGTGTTCAATCTAGCAGGTTTTGACAAACAGAAAGTGAGATCTAGGGACATTAACATGGGATAAATAATGTTAATATATTGGCAATTCACCCAGACTTTCTTTAAGTGAGAGAACTTCTGCCATAATTTTAAAGGAACAAGATTATTTCATACTTATGAGAGGTACAGAGATACTCAGTAGTGATGAGATTGAATGAATGTTGTCTGAGCAGCAGCAATGAATCAAAAAGAATCCTATCAGAGAGAAAGTCATTGAGAATAGGTCATCCTTACTAAAACTCCTTCCAAAAGATGTGTATCAGAACTAGCCATAACTACTTACCCAAGATTTAAATATATGCATATGCTCTCAAAAGTATTGCATTAATAAATAATAATTTATTGTATTAATAAATTAATAAATTATTCTTGTATTAATAAATAATTAATAAACTCATCTATAACTCAACTATGTTTTTGTATAAATACGCATGCATAAGTTGAGTTTTGGAAAGCTATCTTCAGGTTAGACCATATAAATTAAATCTAAAAACTGTATCAAATAGCACCATTTATAGATTCACTCCTTCAGGAAGAGAAACACCTCACTAGTTGTAGAACACCATCTCATACAACAGTAGGATCGAAAACAGATTGTTAAATAGTAGTCAGTTTGTCCACATTTCTTTCCTCTCCAAGTTGACACACAACTATTTCAGTACAAACGATTTGCCAAAATCAATTTTTATTATTTAGCCACAGCAGTATTCACTTAGTTGGATTTGTGCTGGTCATAGCTTGAGATGATATAAATAGTATTCAGGACTGGATTTGAAGAACATCCTACAAACACTCTAAAATCTGAATGTCAATGCTCAAAAGACTTTCAACACAGTAGTAATAAGCAACATTTGCACGTGCAATTTAAACTGCTGGAGATCTAATGATCTCTGTTCAATCAAACCTCATCATACAATGTTCATATGTTATATTGAAAAAGCTATCTTTCAAGCTTAAAGAAAAAGACCCGAGGACACACTTCTCAAGTGCTCCAGCTTGAATTCAGCATGTAATTACTACCAAGATCACATATAATTTTCAGTATTTCAAGAATGTGCTTTTATGTGGAGATAATGATGCAACTTTTTCAGAATCTGTCTGAACCCATGGATTAACATCTGTGATGTCTGCACTTGAGCACAATCTCAAGCTTCTGTCAAATGGCATCTTGAGAGCAAAGCAAAATAGCACTTGAGCACAATGTCAAGCTTTTGTCAAATGGCATCTTGAGAGCAAAGAAAAATATCAGAAATAAAGGATAGTACCTGGAAACATCAAAAATAAGATTGTAAGAAAAAAAAATCACACAACATCTGCCTGTACCGCAATGCTGGAATGGTCACAGCATTGCCTCACAATTCCCATTCAGTGTCACAACATAAGAGTTTGTATTGATTATGCATTTTTATATGTATTAAAAAAATAATAATAATTCCTAAGAAAACTACTACTATTATAAAGAGCAAATAATTCTGTCACACATTTCAGGATTTGTCTTAGTTATTTTCTCATTGGTGCTTCAGAGTTTTTCTCTTATCTGTATTCTTCAGTGTTCACAGGATTAATTTTTTTTCTCTTCTACTACTCTCAGCAGAAGACTGGAATACTTAGAAACCTCAAATATGTGACCTAGCTACAGAGTTTACTTTCTTACAAGCTCAGAAAATATTTGAACGATAGTCAGCACATCCATTAGGCAGACCATTTATTTCTTATTAATCATTGCTAAGATTAATAAACTATAAACTAGTTACTTATGATACTTAATTCTATGAAATCACGTAATCTTTTTCTAGACAGTAAGATTAAGATCATGAATAGTATGTCAGCCTTTGCTTATTACAGGTTGCCTTTTCTATTTCTCAAAGCTTTCATAATTCAAAAAAGGCATGAGCTATTCTGTATTGTATTTGTAACATGGGCTCTTCAAGTACAAGACTGTAGTTTATACCTCTTTCTACTGGGCGACCTACGTTACAGAGTGGCGTCCAATTTCAGTAGAATTTTAATGAAGAAAAATAAACAAATGCTAAGGGCTAACAGACTCTAAGTGGAAAAGCCAAAGTTTATATTTTGTTTCTTAACATTTAAAAATATACATACTTTCAGAAAGCCATCATTAAGGTGTTTATTTACTGTGAAATCCACAATGACCGCAGTCATCACCTTTCAAATGATGGGTTTGGTTATTTTATGGAATGCTTTTCAGCTTAGTGAAAAGCTGTCAGATAACCTCCGTGACTGATGAGAGCTTTCAGAGTGAAGCTCTGGCTTTATAATCAGATGATTGGCTTCACTGTATTCACTACTGCCTCAGGACAACTTGTGGGCCAGATATCAATCATCTGGAAAACAATCACCTGTCTTGCTGGGTTTGTTGTCTTGTTCTTTGCCACCTATTGCTCAGTCCTGATTTGTAAAACACATGAACAGGGTTATGATGAGAGCCCATGAAATGTCAGCACAACCAGTGATGATGGAAAGGACTTCATTTCTTGTCTTGAGGGAAGCAGCATCATATTTCGAAAGTTGAAGTGTATTTCTCTGCGAATATACTGTTGTTTCTGGGGTATTTTGTTTCTCTGTTCGAATGAAGGAAATTGTTTTAAGCCTAGATTTCAAAAGTGAGACTGACTCCACTGATTATAAGTCTTCATTCCAAAAGCTAAGGGAGCCCTAAGGTTTCCATAACCACTAGCTCTTTTGGGGCACACAACTCTCATCACAAAATGCTCTTTCTTGGTATTGCAGGCTTTGCTGTGACTCAGCCTGCCAAATTGGTTGGTTTGAAAGACTAGCAATAAAGCAGCCTTACTGTAATGCCTTTAGCTTGGGATTTAAAGTCATAAAAATGCCAAAACAACCTATAAAGACACAGTGACTTACACTGCAGATAAAAGCAAAGCACAAAAATGCATCTAATTAATGCAGTCTCCAATTCTGTGGGTGAAAAAAAAGCAGACGTGTAATGTACATTAGCTAACACTGGTTAGTTCAACAAAAAATATCTACAATAATATTCTCAAAAACTAACATGTCAAAATAGCAAGTATTTTTAAAAATCCATTTTCAATCTATATGAAACATTTTGACGAACTGAGAAAAGACTGCGCTAATGCATTACAGTGCAGTGAGCACGAAGTGAGTAAAAGCTGAGCTGATATTTAAAAAAAAAAAAAAAAGCCTCCGTTTTATCCTCGGATTGGACTTTTCCCTCCTCCCCTGGCAGGCTCCAACACTCTCTTCCCGGCAGGCCAGTACATCTCGGGCCCCACAGCCCTGCTCGGCCTTTCTCTGCAGCCAGGCCTCACAGGACGAAGGGACCTCACTCAGTATCCGCTACTGCTTGGACAGGCAAAAAGAGCGTGGGTGGGGCCGGAGAAGCGTGCAGCGGTCAGCAACAATTGCTTTTCTTCCCTCCTTCATGCTTCATGGGTTTTTGAGGATTTGGGGCTGACGGGCAGGCTATCTGCTTTCCTCATTGCTCTTTCAGGAGTTGTTGTGGTTTTGCAGTGGCACACAACTGCGGTTTGCCTCCCGATTGCTTCTGTGTGATGCACACTGCTCCAGCTGTGGGGCTCCTTTTGCTGCTCCCTATACTTTGTTTGTATCTTCCCTTCCTGCCTCCAGTCCTCTGCCTTCCTGTGTTGCTGTTCTCCCAGCTGCAAATATAGTGTGTGTGTGCTACAGGGGCAGCCCAAAGCCAGGAGGCACTCAGAGCACTGGCAACCATGAAGCATATGTAATTCCCCCTCTTTTATGGTGTTGGCCCTTGACATCATGGCTGCTATGGCTGAACTTGTCCACCAACATCCCATTACATGTTGGCCTCGAGTTGTGCCAGTGGAGGTTTAGGTTGGATATCAGAGAAATTTTCTTTACAGAAAGGGTTGTTGAGCACTGGAATAGGCTCCCCAGGGAGGTGGCTGAATCACCATCCCTGGATGTGTTTAAAAACTGTCTGGATGTGGTGCTCAGGGACATGATTTAGCAGAGGGTTGTTGGAGTTAGAGTAGTATGGTTAGGTTGTGATTCGACTTGATGATCTTTAAGGTCTTCTCCAACCTGAGCAATTCTATGATTCTATGCTGGTGCCGTACAAGAGATGGCAGCAGAGGGGCAGTCCGGTACAGTGCTGTCTGACATGAAAGTGTGGGGTGAAGCAAAAGTGTGGAATTGAGTACAGTTGTGTCCCTGCTCTGCCTGCTCCTAGGCCACTGCCTACTGCTCTCCTGAGCATCCATCTGCCTGGAAGCTGTGCAAAGAAGCAAGGCAAAGCAGAACAGCACATTGCAAGTGGCATGTGTCTCTTATAGAGCCACAATGCATGCTGCAGTTCATATTCTACAATCTAAAATACCGCTGAGTATGATTAACCTGTTGTGTAGTATGTCATTACAGAAGGCAGAAAGCAAGAAGTTATTCTCACCTGACAGTTAAGCAGTAGCATCCCTCTAATATCTTTAAGGAGGAGGTGTTACTTTCAGCTCTCTTGGGCTGCAAGGGTGTGTGGTGGTGGCCCCCCCAGTCTAGAGATGGGGAAGATACATGAGATACAATTTACTTTGATCAGTGAGTGTTGATATTTTTGAAGTTGAGGTTTGTCCTTTTTCTTCTCTGTTGTACTTTAAGAAGGATAGATTTCAATATAGGAATATATTCAACATGTAAAATATTCAGAGGCTGGAGGAACTGCCTGGAGCCAAGATGCAGTGAGGGAGGAAAGACTGATTTTCTCATAGTTCTCTGCTTTCAGCTTGCTGTAGTCAAAGCTGAAGAAAAGTGGGATGTGACAAGGTGCCTAGAAAAAGGTATATAAGCCTGTTTGGAATTGTTACAAATCCATGAAATAGTCGGGTCCACCTAATTCAGCCACTCAATAAACCAAGATTTCAAGCTGAATGAATTGTATTCAAAGTCAATTACACTATTGTTAATGGTTGATAAATTTGGAGAAAAAAAGTGTTACAGCAGTCATGTGTAATATGCACATGAAATGTGCTCTTTCAGAAGAGGGCAAGTTCTGGATAATACTTACAGACAATTAAAAATGTTTAAAGGAGTGAAATATGTCCACAGAGTTGGGCTGGCCTATTCCTACTGCTTATGGCTCAGTAGGATTTGGCTTCATTTAGCAGAAGTGTTTAGACTGAATTTCTACAGAGTCCTATGACCTTCTGTGCGGGAGGGACTAGGCTGAAAAACTGATGGGCATACACTTCTGATTGTAAATGTACCAATTAAGTTTTTAGTAAATAATGACATTTGAGAACTTTTCAGCTGAAATTAAGTGGTAACATCAATGACTATTTTCAAGCCAATAGCAAATAGCCTCATAATTTATTGGTTCAATTAAACTTTGGGGACTGCACTGTGACTTCTAGTCATTCTTTGTCTGGAAGACTTCTAGTGAAAATAATTTACTATCATCAAATTTCCCTTTGTCCATGCAAAGATGAGGCAGTCTATTAAATTAGTATTTTAAAATTATTTTGTTATTATATGGATCAGAAGAATTTCTGTACTGAGGAGGTATATTGGGATGAAAACTAAGAGCAGTCTTGAAATAAAGACAGGGAAGATTTGATTAAAAGCAGCTTCCTGGAGTATGGAGCCATTATCTTCAGGTTATTTTAACACTTTAAGTCAGAGTGTTCAAACTGGCTTTACTGGAGCTCTGCCAAGTAACTTGTAAAAAGGTGTCTTGTAGCTGCTTGGGAAGATGCAATGAACTTTATCCGTAATGCCAACAACTAGTTGCTGGTTCACAGGCACACAGATGTATTTGTTCGGATAATAAAATTTCATTTCATTTTAAATTTCCTCTGACTTTCTTTTGCTGGAGGCCCGTAACTGATTTCTTTACAATATTTTATTTTCTTCCATTTTAGGCATTCACTGCCAATCATATTGCTCTTTGCTTGGAAGCATTATAGCATAAATCACCTTGACTACAGAAATCATGCATATGTATTTGCATGCTCCAGCTTCCAAATTCTGGCTCAGTCTCAGCAAAACTCATTAGCTAGAACCTTTATTTTCTCTGCAACGGTTTATGCACTAATTAATCTCCTGCTGTCTTTGTCTTGAATAAGCTCTAGTGCTCTTTCAGTATAAAATATCTTTTCTGACTCTTGAATTATGGTGTTGGCTTTTTTTCTGCTCCCTCTCCAGTTTTTAAACTTTGTGTTGAAAATTGTCACCTTTTGGTCAGAAAAACAGTACAATTCCTATCCATTCCTGTCTTTGATGTAAAATCATCTCACTGGTCTCTCTCTTGTACAGAGATAAAACAATTGGCTGAGTTATATTTTTCCTATAACATCATGCTAGTGACTATACTCAATTTATTATTTTCAGGATCACTGCCTACAGAGAGATGATTGCAGTCCTTCTTTGCACAACCATTGCTGCCATTCTATTCAGGTGAACAAATTTCTGGCTCTTCCCTTCGTGTATTCATTTGTACTTGGCAGAATTAAATATACGTTGTTTGACTTGGCCCACCCTTTTTTCCAAGCAGTCCAGGGTTCAAGTGAATCATTTTTCCCAATGCTTTGTTTGCTCTGTATTTGTTCCCTTCCTTACCCCCATGTAGGAAATGTAACTTCATGAGAAATCATATTGTTGTTGTTCTTCCTCACTTTTTTTTTGTTATTCCTCCTTGAATGTGAATTCTATGGTTATAAAATGGTCTCTCCCTTAGTGCAGCCCCTTATACCAGTAATCTGAGGTGCCAGGCTCCCATATAGGTATAATTTCCTTGTAAAACTTTGTTGGAGGACCTGTATGCTATAATATCATGGTGCTGTAATTCTTGAGTTGTCCGCCAAACATGGGAGTATCACTTTATGAAATAGTTCTAAGGCAAGGACAGGAGCAAAACATTAAGAGCTCAGTAGACTTTTCAGTATCTGAGAGCCTGTGCCAGTGGTTTCTAACCTGTGCTTGGAAGATCATTGTCACTAAAGCTATGGGTGCTCATCTAGGGTGTAACTCTGTTTATATCTTGTAAATAAAAAGTATGTACTTAGTAGACTGTATTTTTGCAATATTTCACACTTTTCTGATTCATTAGACAGATGATATAAAACCACCTATTAATACTAGCTGCCAAATGATTTTAGAACCATCTTGACTTATTTGATATACTCGTGTTTTTAAACAACATATCTGTCCCAAATTGGATTCTCTGGCTATGTCATCATTTCTAGAATCTAATGTGCATTTTTATAGATAGAAAAAGTTTATGTATATGTGTATACATGTTTTGTATTCTTTCACCCCTATTGCTTTAAAGTTTTATCAGTGTTTTGTAATGAAACATTATTTTATTCTTCCTCCAAATATTGTTGGCTATGAAGGAATGAATTGTAGGCTACCTGAGATGGAATTTATTCTTGACCTTATCTAAATCCACAAACAGGATTGCCACTGGAGTCAGCAAATACCCATGAAAACAAATACCCAGAAAAACAAAATGCTAGGATGGGGCTGCAGATATAAGTAAAACAGATTTTATCATTTGTTTTATTTTATTTTAAATATCTGTATCAGACAGATGGGAGGAAGTACTCGTCCTCAGCATGGAAAGAATGCCCAAGTAACTGCATCTGGGGGCTGCTTATTTCCAGCATTCTTTAGAGATCTTTCTCCTAATCCTCTAACTGAATGCATTAGCACTCTGAAGGATTCATCATGCCAGTTCTGTAACTTTTACAAATGCTACACTGGCAAATAGGAAATTCTCCTTTACTTAAAATGATTAATCCAAGTATAGAGATTAGAAATATCTATGCTGTTTCTACAGCAAGACCTTATCAAACTCTGTAAATCACTGTTTTAACTGAGAAGTACAATGTACAAAACAAAACAAAACAAAAAGCTAGAACTTTGCTCTTGGGTGATTAAATTCCCATAGTAACTGTAGTTACTAATTTACAACTGGGAGTTCATTGTCTCTTCTCTTTACAGAAAATCCTGTATGCTGTGCTTGCCTGTTAGAGGTGGTGGTTGCTTGTTCATTCAAAATTATGTTTTTCTATATAAGATCTTACAACACAACCGCAAATCCTGGCATGGTTTGCAGGAGAATTCTCAGCCTGTGCGAGAGACTGAGCTGCCCTCTGTCCATCAAAATTAGCGCGCATTGCAGTAATAACTGCTCTAAAATTGTGCAAGTTAAAAATCACTGTAGGACCAGATCTTACTTGGAGGAATGTTTAGCTTCAAATGCACTAAGTGTATTTATTTAAGAAGTCTGGTGCATATGTGTTTTGCCAGATATGAAAAGCAATTGAGCAGTATGGGGTGTTAGCGCATTGGAATGTCAGTAGAAAGGCTACTGCAACCTGTCTGACTACAGTGATGTGGCTGGTAGAAATGCAAGAAATGAAATCCGTAAAACTCTGGCCTTCTGCTTTCCACTGAAAGTGAGACTGGGAAACTGAGTTTTCCCACTGATTTGTTTATGATACTATCCATCCGCTGCTGGAGGGCTCACAACCACTCCCAGAGTGCCACATTTAAACAGTTACTTTGTTGTGTTTCAGGAGGCACTTCCTAATGGCGCTGATTTCATGTTTACTCTGGAGTACATTTGGCTTTAGTACAGCTGTGGACTCTAAACCCAACATACTTTTGTTCCTGGCTGATGATCTCGGCATTGGAGATGTAGGATGTTATGGGAACAATACCATAAGGTAAAAAAAAATTCTCAGAATAATATATGTTACACTACAGAATATCTATCCTGAGTAATTAAACCTAACAAGAAAATAAGAGCAGTTCTTAATTCAAGGCACTGGTAGTTCGGTAATTGATACATGAAAGTACCTGTTGTTTCTGTGCACACAGGAATGGAGCCTAAATAAACAATGCACAGTGAAAGGGGAAAAAACATCATGTTTTCATTATATATTTTAGTAATAAAATTTTCTCTCATTCTCATTCATGAAATTCTTAATTCCATTTCATACATACTTAAGCTTCTCTGTGCTTTTCCAGTATCCGTTTCAACTCCTCCTGCTGCTGTAGTCCATTTATCTGGGAGAGCGAGGCTCACATAAAATTTAACTATGTAAAGTTATATGGAAAATCTTAAAATATAAGTTCTATGTAATGTTACATCACTCTATTATTATGAAATAAAGCACTGTGTTTAAAAGCATGATGCAGAAAGTCTTGGTTCCAGTAGTTCTATGTGCTCTGGGGGACTAGCTGAATAAACTCTGAACTTAAGGATCTAATTGGGTTGGAAAAAAAAAAAAAAAAATGAACAGCAGGAGTTTCAGCATAAAAAAAATCACCCTCCTTATATAAAAGTCTTTCCATTTTAGTTTTATTTTTAAACTAAAATTACCAGCAATGCCTAGGTTTCTTCCCAGTGTTGTCAAACACACTCTATGGCTGTGTCTCAAGAATGAATTCTCCAGTAGTTACAAGTTGTTTAACCAACTGTATCAAGATTTCAAACTACATCAGTCCTGAAGTATATGGAGAATAACTTTTTTGAGGAACTACTCTAAAACTCTCATTTTTCTTGGCAAATTGTAAAAATAAAGTTCAGGATACTTCTTTTAATAATTGAAATTTTATTTTAGGACCCCAAACATTGACCGCCTGGCAAGAGAAGGAGTGAAGCTTACTCAGCACATTGCTGCAGCTTCGCTCTGTACTCCAAGCAGAGCAGCTTTTCTCACTGGCAGATACCCCATCAGATCAGGTTGGGCCCATTTTGAATGACAGATTTCTAATGTACAGAGCTGAGGGACTATAATAGCCAATAAGAAGGAATGGAAAAGAATTCAGCTAATTCCTCATCCTGAGTTAGAAAGTACGTAGCCAGTTGTCTGTAACTTTCTGTAAGTAATTTACAGTCAAAAACCATTGCCTCAACAGCTGACATCAGCTTACTTTATAGGATTCGGAAAATCTTTATGATGAAATTAGATGGGTATAGAGAAATGCCAAGAGTTTGTCATTTCTTTAGTACATCACAGCCTGGGCTGAACTGTTGGAATTCACTTTGATGGTGATGGTTAGAGATAAAGTTGAAACGAGGCTCCCAAGAGAGAAGTGTGGAAGTTCATAACCAAGATAGCGCTGAAAGTCACAAAACTGAAGTGACAATGGAATACTGGATCCATTAACCACCTACCTGAGACACCTTTTAGAAGACTTAATAGATATCTCCACTAGGAGTTACATAGGAAAATGAGGTGCTTACATTAGGAGAGCTAAGTGGAAAATCAATGTGTTGAGAGAGCTATATCTCACCTAACATTTCACAACATCCCCCTGAGATAGGGAAATGCAATTATCTCTCATTTTAGATGAGGAGCAGAGAGGCCAGATTATAACATATACTCAGAAAAGCGGAAAAGAGAATCTACTATATACTGTCCCCATCAATTAATTTTCAGCTTGATGGTAAATCTAGTGCTAGGCAGCATTTGTTTTGAAAAATAACACTTGAATTTAGATGTGCTGTGCTAATGTGATGCACCTACCTTTGAGATATGCCTAAATTTACATTTAGTGAGGAACTCTGCTGGCTGTAGGTTAAGCACCCGACCTGGAGGCTGACAGGAGCATCCCAGCCTCTGCAAGCAGAGCACAAGAGGCCATCAGAGATGATCTGAACTATTTCTGTCAGGAATGGCTTCCAACAATCGATACCGAGCACTGCAATGGAATGCTGGATCGGGAGGGCTCCCTGCAAATGAAACAACTTTTGCCAGACTTCTACAGCAACAAGGCTATAGTACTGGGCTGATAGGTAAGTGAAAATGTTTTAGTATAAGTTTGAAAAATGATGTAATTACATGAATTTAGGCATTGTACTTGTCCCAAATGGTTGATGAACATGAATCCTTTACAGAAGACTGAAGGGAGAAAACAACAACTTGTAATTACAAGACTGAAAACACTGTGATCTAAGGAGTTTTAAGACAATACAAATATTTGCACAGGGCATGTGAAGCAGGAAGGATTAAAAACTAACCCATTATCATTATGAGTGAGCATTTATTTTACTTGGCTTAAGGTTTTTGAATGTTTTGCCCACTGAGAGAGTTTTGTTAACTTTGTTATTTGTTCCAAATAAAACAGTCTTTGAGCATTTCAAAGGCGTTTGAGGCAAAAGGCAAAGAAACAAAAGAGGATAGGGAAAGAAAGGAATAAAGTCTGTACCCATAAAACAGATGATGAAGCATGAGTGCCTCACAGGTGATGCTGTGAGGCCTCAAAGAGGCACAGTACTGTGGCAGTTCCCTCAAATGAAACTGAAGAAGATAGAAGGATATTAGAGAAACACTATCCTGGAGCACGTGCCTTCCTGTATGTGACATTGATCAGACCTCTATAGTTTCAATTTTCATCTTTCTTTTTCTAAATACTCTAAAATGGACTGGCGAAGTATTTCTTCTCCCTTCTGCTTTTATTACTTGCTCAAGTGAAAAATACTTCTGCAATGGATCCTTTAGTATAAATTTATAGGTATATCCCTTAAAGCCAAGGAGTTCAGTTGTGCCAAAAATATTGTCATCTCCAAGTTCTGGAAATAAATGTGGCTGTATTGAATTGAAAGTTAATGAGGTAAAGTCTTCCTGGCTGAGTCTATAATTACTTGGCAATCATATAGACCAGCAAACCTCAGGGTTCTTTGATCCAGCACGTTTTCTAAGCTTTTGTCTGCATGCTCTGTTTGGGAGACTAGGCAAGGATAGAGTGAAAGGTTGTTTTACACCTTTTTCTCCTCTTCATATTGAACAGGGACAATGCCTAGGAAATCATCTTTCTGAGTCTGGTGATCAGAGTTTTTCTCAACACTAGCCAAGAGTTTCTTGGATATTCTAGTAAATTTGTAACATATTAAAAGAAGTTGCAAGTAAAGCAATTGAGAGTTAGGAAGGAGGTATATTAAAGCAAGCAGCTGGTGATTTAGAGACCATAATCCCCTGACCCTCATTGAAAAGCAATTGAAATCCCATCCTTAAGTAACCTTCATCACTCCAGTAGCTGACTTGGCCATTTTGCAGATTTTTCTGTTTATTGCGTGACCATTTGGGGTTCGCACATTAGGACACAACATTTACCCATCAAGTACTGGTTTCATCCTGCCTCTTTGTGCACTTTGATGCTTTGATTCACTGAATTCCCAAGGAAGTACTTGCAATGCTACTTGAGCATCTGTTCAAGTTGTCCATTTAAATGTTCTGATTTTTTTTCATGCTTTAAAACTTTCAGGAAAGTGGCATCAAGGTGTAAACTGTGAATCCTTCAATGATCATTGTCACCATCCCCTAAATCATGGGTTTGACTACTTTTATGGCATGCCTTTTACACTTATAAACAACTGTCAAGAAAACAAACCTCCAGAGATGGATGTAGCCCTTCAAGACAAGCTTTGGCTTTACAGTCAGATAATTGCCCTTGCTCTGCTTACTCTTGCTGCTGGAAGACTGACTGGTTTGGTTTACATCCGCTGGAAGATACTTGCCTGTTTCACGTTGGTGGGCTGCCTTTTCTTCATTTCTTGGTACTCCAGTTATGGCTTTGTGCAGCGTTGGAACTGCATCCTAATGAGGAACCATGATATCACTGAGCAGCCAATGAGATTAGAGAGGACTGCTTCCCTCATGCTGAAGGAGGCAGTATCATTTATCAAAAGGTAAATGATTGTAGTTTTCTTTGAAAGTGAGAGGAGGCTCTGGGCTCTTGGAATAGGGTATTTTTTTCCACTCTAGCTATAGCCATACAACTTTTAAAAATATAACCTTTTAAAATTCATAGCCATGTGTTTTATTCAGAAATTTAAATCTTAGTTGCAACTGCCCATGTGGAAAAAGACAACAAATAAGATGGCATTTCACCAAATGATACATAAACATCTACATATACACTGTAATCTGTAAATAATAAATTTGTTCCATTATTGACCAGCTAATTCTTATATGTCACTCTGCAAGCCTCATTTGTGCTTTTTCTCATAATCCTTATAAAACATGAGATAAAAGGGGAATGATGCACAAAATTACTTCACGTGAAAATCTCAAAATATTTAGCTCCATTTTCATGTCATTCAAACACTTGAGAAGGAAGCTGACTAACAGCATTAATTTACCACTAGCTTCAAGTTCCTCTTTGGCCTATACAGGCCTCGATAAATATTTCTGTGTGCCAGATGTGTTTCTGTAAAACAGGGAGGATAACTATCCTTTTCTTAAAAGTATATTTAAACACATATACTGAAAAACTTGAATGGCCATCTTAGAAAAGCCATGTAAATCTTAAGGTAAATATAAAACTATTTCCAGTTGCATTTAATTAAAAAAAAAGAATCAGAGACATGCAGCTGATTCTTAAAAGCACTGCACAAGTACTATGCTTGTTTACACATTGGAATCTGACTAAAAACTATCTGTCTTGTCTACATTTTATGCAAGAAAGAAACAATTAACTAAGATCAACAGGGTTGCATTGTGTGTGGATATAATATAGACTTATTATTTGTGTCTGTGCACTGATGAATATGAAAACTTTCAAAATATTTCAGATGCACAGCAAAAATTATGCTTCTTTGTTTTTAAGAAACAGACATGGACCATTCCTTCTCTTTGTTTCATTTCTTCATGTTCACACACCTCTCTTCACCACAGCGAAATTTCTTGGGAAAAGCCATCATGGTTTGTATGGAGACAATGTAGAAGAAATGGACTGGATGGTGGGTAAGTATCCTTGATGAGGGATTTGTTTCAGATATGTGTATCTGTGTGTTTTAAAGCAAGAGAAGTAATAAAACCAAGGTATCCACAGCAATCTATGCTGTTAAAACCTTCTCAAAGCACGTTGCAAAAGATCATCAAAATGTTATACGTGTGGATTGATCTTTCTAATTGCTTAATTGGAACCCTGCTGTCTCTCTTCTTAAATTTAAGGCAAAATTTTAGACTTGCTTGACAAGGAAGGTTTGAAAAATCACACATTCACATACTTTGCCTCTGATCATGGAGGACACTTGGAAGCTCAGGATGGTTCTGCCCAGATGGGTGGCTGGAATGGCATTTATAAAGGTAGGAAATGAAATACAGCTTTACATGTTGATTAGAAACAGAAACACAATGATGTAATCTAGGTGAAGTTGTTAAGGCTAGAGTGGGTTACGTTGTTTTCTAGCTTGAAATACAGACAACAAACATAGGTGCTTTAATCTTACTTTTTCTTTCAGTAAAATATAAGCATTATTACACATCTCTTTGATAACGGTATTATATAGTTTGATACCTGTAAACTATTTGGTATTCTCAAGTGAAAAGCACTGAATAAAATATGATAGATCCCTTTAAAACTTCCCTTTTCCTTCTACTAGTCCCCACATATGTTTTTTCCTGATTTACTTGTTTCTTTTTCTCATTATTTCCAGAAATCATTGCTGTCCACCTATTTGATATGAAATAGGGTAAGGACACATTGTGCTATGACTTACAGCAAGTTTAGCCCCCTTATGCATGCCTTCATACTCTATGTAAATCAGTGATTGGCATAAGACCCAGATGATTTCGGTGATGCAAAAACACTTCACTCACTACTGCCTGCTTTTTGTGCTGTGAATTATGATTCAGCCTCCTGAGCAGTGCAGTAGATTTTTAAAGCCACAAGATATGCATTCATTGCACTTTCTCCCATCTGCCCCAGCAGCACTGAATCATTAAATCACCTTCTGTGTTCTGCCATGAGCATGTGCTTAAAAAGGACTGAGGGTTTAGGGTCTCTTACCACCAGTGAACCATCCACTTCTTGCCCAAACTTCTCATGTTCTTATTTTCCTAAAACAGGTTTTTTCCAATTACAAACCTTCTTGAGCTTTTCTGCAGGGCACAGCAGAGGTCAAAGACATGGAATTTTGACTCTCACATGGTGAATGTTTTGATGCCAAGCAATGGTTGCTGGCTTTTAGGGAAGGTCTTATTTATAGTACCTTTGTCCTCCATCTCATTCCTTATTTCCTCTCTAGTATCAAGATGCTGTATTGTATTAGTTTATGTTAGTAGCAAGCTGTGAAAAGGTGTTTTGCTGTCATTTTAAGTAATGTGTATATGATTTGATTTCATAGTTCAGATTTTTTGCTTCTGAGTTCAGAGATGTTGCATTAGGAAAGTCAGATCCAAACCTCAATTTGAAAAATACAGAAGATGTTTAAGGCATTTGGAAATATTTCTGAGTTAAGAACATGTATTTTCTTCCCCTACTTCAAGGGATCATATTAACAGGAGGGGGTACGACTGTTTATGAGAGTGGATAGTGATAGGACAAGGGGAAATGGTTTTAAACTAAGGCAGGGGAGATTTAGTTTAGATATTAGGAGGAAGCTTTTCACACAGATGGTAGTGGCACACTGGAACAGGTTGTACAAGGAGGTTGTAGATGCTCCATCCCTGGAGGCATTCAAGGCCAGCCTGGATGTGGCTCTGGGCAGCCTGGTCTGGTGGTTGGTGACTCCATAGGTATGATCTTTGAGGTCCTTTTCAACCTAGGCCATTCTATGATTCTATGATTCTCAAGGGAATCCATGGCTAGAAAGAAAAGAAATACTTTTTACAGCTGTTTGTTAAGGTAAGATACTAATCCTTAAGCTTTGTGTAGGTTTTAAAGAGAATATCAAGTATTTCTTCAGTCTTGTGTCTGCTGCCTCTGTGAATACTTCCTTGTGAGTTTGCCTCTGAACTGTTGTATGTTGTTTAATTTTACTGCAGGTGGAAAAGGCATGGGAGGTTGGGAAGGAGGGATCCGTGTGCCAGGAATATTCAGGTGGCCAGGAGTGTTACCTGCAGGCATTGTTATCAATGAGCCTACGAGTCTGATGGATATTTTTCCCACAGTTGTTCATCTGGCTGGAGGAAGATTGCCACAGGACAGGTATGGAGATATTTTCAGTAGAAGAAATTGAATGGAGAGTTATCAACTAAATAATTTCAGTGTTTTTTTTTAAATAATCCAAGTAGATCTCCCATCTATATCGTAGTCTCAAGTCCAGTCTAAGATTTTAAACTCAAAAGCAACCCTCCCTCCCTTCTCCATACATTCCTGGATATGCCCACAGGTATGCATGTGGCCACAGATCTTGTTCATTTCTAAACAAAGCATCACTCGGGAAAGAATTGATGGCTGAGGTTGTTTTGGTATTAAATTACCAGAGCAATGAACACATACAGATTCCTCCTAACAACATTAGGAGGAATTGAACAACATTAGTTCAAAAGATTTCTCCTTTGAATTTGCTATATATAAACAATTATGAGATCAGTATCAATTTGTCTGAATAAAGAATATTATTCCAGTAGATCAAATCCTAAATATTGTGTATGTATTACTAACCGAAATAAGTTTATCATCTAGATATTTTGAAAATAGCAAATTAACTCAAAAAATTAAAAAAATCTAAAGGATTTAAAATGTTGGCCTGACAATCTGCTCACTGTGATAATATGCAGTTAACTCTGTCAGGTTTGTGCCCTCCTGAATATGCAGGGTAATTGATGGACGAAACTTGATGCCTTTACTCCAAGGAAGAACTCAAAAGTCAGAGCATAAGTTTCTCTTTCACTATTGTGGATCCTACTTGCATGCAGTTCGGTGGCACCAAAAGGACAGTAAGTGTAAACATTCCACATTAACTACAGTATATATGATTTCTTCTCTTGATATCTTTCCTGGTGTATGATGGATTTCTTGCATGACGACATTTATCTTATTGATCTCTGAGATTTTTGAAATTGTTATGCATTATATACCAATAATTCTCGCTAGCTGCAGCTGTCTTACAGCTAAAATATACTTGGAAGTAATAAAGGAAATGTGTTATAGAAAGTGGGGTGGAAATAGAAGCTGGCTGCTTACTACACTTGAAGCCTGATATTGTCTTCTTCACTGTTTTCTATCTTCAAACTCAGTACTTCGTGCAGAGAATGTTATCTGTGGTGATGGGAAAGCCAGGGTTTGTGACAAAAGGTCTCCTTAGTAAGAAACCACAGCTTGAAGACAATTCACCTTTTCCTCTGCTGTCTTGTAGTTGTGCCATAAGATTTCTTTCCTGACAGGTGGAGCTGTCTGGAAGGCTCATTATGTGACCCCAGTCTTTCATCCAGCTGGGGCTGGGGCTTGTTATGGAAAAAGAATTTGCCCATGTTTTGGGGAAGGCGTGACCCATCATGACCCTCCACTACTGTATGACCTCTCACGAGACCCTTCTGAGTCCCAGCCTCTGTCAGCTGATACTGAGCCCCTCTTTGACACTGTAATAGAGCAGATTGGGAGGGCCATTGAAGAGCACCGCAGGACACTGACTGCAGTCCCACAGCAGCTCTCCAGGTACAACATCATCTGGAAGCCGTGGCTGCAGCCTTGTTGTGGGATGTTCCCGTTCTGTTGGTGTGACAAAGAAGGTGAAAGCACACAGAGTTTGTGAGATGGATGACTGCTAACACATCCTTTGGTGCTGAGTCCTTTGCTGACCAAGCTTTCAGAAAATAATCATCTCCTTCATCTTGCAAGCCAAGTGAATGAAAATAAAGTAATTTTGAGTAGAGATTTACCCTTTTATTCTTCACCACTAAAAAAGATTTAAGGAAATCCTGTCCAGTGTGGTAAAGGACTTGAGTGGAGACAGTTTTTTTACAGATTTAGATGTAAGAGACAGCTGTAGAGGGATATGCCTAAATTCTGTCTAGTTCATGCCTGCTCAAGCAGGACAATTTGGAGAACTCTGAAGAAACTCTAGTATGTCATGCTGACTTAGATAAATCTCTGTATGATTGCAGCTGTGCTCCTGTGGTCTGTGATTCAGGGGCATTCTCTATCCAGCATAGTAGTTTGTCATTATTGGTTTCTGAATTTTTCTATCATCTTTGCAAAAGTACATTGAGATGTGAAATTATGATTTTGTCAGGGATAGTTCTCGTGCAACTTTACTTGACTGACAATAACACATATCACAAAAAAGTATGAAGTTGCAAATGTTGAAGACCAGTATAACTCTGCAACAGTGACAAAGAAGAGGGAAGTAATCTGCTCTTCAGTAGGAGGTCCTGATGCAGATTATGTTGGCACACAGTAGTTTTATTGTATAAAAGTTGCCAACAAAAATGTTTTGAATAAATAGCATGCACTGTTTCAAAGTCAGTTAGCAAAATGTGGTCCTTTTGAGGCTCATAGGAATTAATGTTTAAAAGATTTGGCAGTCATATGCCTATATTTACAAACCATAGATCCTAAGAAGGGATCATGCCAGTACTAGTTTAAAAGAAAACAGGGACCAATCAACCAAGCAAAAACCTAGTGGTATGACCCTGGCTAGGCTTTCTATGGAGGCACATGACTGTACTGAAGCTTGCAGTGAAATTGCAGAGACTTTAATGCTTTAAACTGTACTATTGACTGTTCTTCACAGGATGAAGTCAGGTTTTATTAAAAGCATACTGCTAAAACTCTGTACAGAAATTGGGTTTTGAAGTGAGTTAACGGAAAGTGATTGTTTATAGGTTTTGCAGATATTTTTTTTTCTTTTTTCTCCCCTTACAGCTGCCCCTACAAACATTTTACTTGCTCAGCCAGTCTATTTGTTTCAGTTTTCTTATCTCAGTGTTTTTTTTCATAAGCATTACTTAGAGATGATACAAATTTCTGTTTGTGTCATTTCAGTCTGTTGTTTCTTTACTACTACAGAAAACTTGTCAGGGTTGTAAGTGAATGCATGAATGCCTGCACTTCCTTTTAGTACCCACACATGAGAAAAAATAGAGAGTGGCAGTATGAAGCACCCAGTGACTCAAAATTAAGTTTTTGCTGGCAGAGAATTTGCAGTAGTGAGGAAAAAATATCTCCTTGTGCTTTGGTGCAGTGAAAAAACTCCAAAAACTGAAAAGGAGGAAATAGTGCAGGGCTCAAAATGTATGGAAATGTAATGTCCTTTCTGCTTCGTTCTTATAAAGCTTTTTTTTCTTTCTTATAAAAGGTCTTGGTTCAAAGCTTAGTTGTACTCAAGACAATACATAATCACAGCTATTACCTTCGCACTAACATAGTGGTGAGTAACAGGATGGAAGGGTTATACAGGCAGAATGCCCTTCCATTTCCAGACAGATTTGTAATGAAAAGAAAATTCAAAGCTTGTTTAGCTTGTTTTTTCTTTTTTCTTTTTTTTTTTTATTTAAAAACAAGCCAGCAGCAGCATGGGCACATCTTAGGTAGTCATCTTATGGTAAAAACAATGGAAACAGCCTAGAAAAGCTGAGAGAAAAGTTTAGTCATCATTTGGACCAAAGACAGATATAAATTAATACTTAAATTATTGGAAACTTTTAAAGAACCACCTTTCTCAAAGTATGAGGTAATTTTCAAGAGAGACAATTTTTCAAGGGAAAGCTTTGCACCAGAAACATCACAAGCTGTTACATAACTGCACTAAATAAGTATTATCTTCAAATAGGTTTTTGTAAAGCAGACAAATTAGACAACTTACAGCTTACAAGCATAACCAAACATAGCCATGTGTTCAAGGAGATCAACAAAAATCTGTCTCCAGCCAAAGCTATCCCTTCCAATGTATTATATTAACCTGCCAGTTTAAACTGCTTCACTTGACCCCTGCTGATATATCTCGAGTACAATGTTAAATTTGGCACTCACAGTGCTCAAGGGACCAGAGGAGCTGGAATGTCAACAAGCGAATAGAAAGGTGTTTCTCTCATTGATCAAGACCTTTGAAAGGATAAAGTGCATCACAGCAGAGCTGACTTCTGAAAGAAGTGGATGTGGGGAAGAGGAATACTTTACCTTCAGTTCCTGGGAAAGACATCGCGTTTAATATCTTCAGTGCAGGTAGGTTTAGCTCACCTGAAAATTCAAAGAGGAAGAAAAGACAACATGAAAGAAAAAGGGGAGGACAAGCCAGTCCTGTTATCCTGTTTGAGAGATCAGAAAGCAGAGTGGAGGAAATAAAACCATGGGTCTCCAAGTTTGATTTTGTAATTCTTTGAAGCGTCATTTTGGAGGCACTGCAATAGAGCAGTGCTAGGCTTTAGATGGATCTGCACAGAATTAACTGGATAGGCAGCCTAGAGAAGGCAGTGGCTACGTTGTGTCACTGTTTAAAGAATAAAGACTTTGTACTCTGTCTGGAATTTGTGTGAAAACTCAGTGGCGGTCCCACTCACTGCTCCTGGCAGACATCCCAGTGGCTTCTGCATCCAGAACTGGGGGAAGGGAGATGGAGAGCAAACACAGTAAATCCACTCCCACCTCCTCCCACACACATCTCAGGGGATCAGACTGTTTAGCGAACCAAAGAACAAGAAGGAATTCCAAAGCAGGAAGAATGATTTGTTCTCCATGTTATTAAAAGGAGCTGGCTTGTTTTTGTTAGACTTGATGTTTACTGTGGCTTACTGGAAATTGCTATCTGCCATTTTCTTGGATTTCTGTAAGTTCAGCAGTACAAGTTTCAACAGTAAGTTGCTGTGCTGATTCCTAGAGGATGGTGTTTTTTAAAGTTATGGATTATGGGTTTGGGTTTTTTTGTTTAACAGCTAAGAAAACTTGACAAGCCGTAGGCCCCAGTACAGTGTTTGTTGCACTCACAGTGATGTCAGTGGGAGCACAACTTTCAGAAGGAATCAATCTCTAACAGAAAAAGCTGAATACACATATTTAAATTGATTTTTTTTTTTTTTTTTTAAAGGGTATTTCTTCTAGCCCTTCAATACGGACACTGTAAAATGGCTTGCAATAAATCAAGGAGCACCAATTTTTATTGTGTCACAGCCAGTGGTATTAAGACTGAAATGTCTTGCAGTGCTACTCAGCTCCTCAGTTGACATTACAGTGTTGTTAACAGATTGTACCAAGTCTCTGTCACTGTAACTGCTGTCAGCAGCCAGCTGTTGCACATGAAACTGTGGGGACACAGTGGAAGGCAGCAGAGGTGCTGCACCAGCTTGGAAAACTTCTCAAAACCCATAGGAGTGAAAGAGAAGGAAGGGTAGCAAAGCAAGGATTTCTCATGGTCTGGATATTTCATATTTTAATCACCTTTCACAGTGAAGAAACTAATATTTTTAATTTAATTCAGTGTACAGCAGAGAGATGAAGTTTGCCAGTCCCAGAGCAACCAATTTATCCTGTGCATCTGGATGGCTGTTTACATGGTTCCTGTGCAACATTTTCTGCAGATTTCTTGCTCTGCATCTATTCACAAGCAAAAAGAGTGTATTCCCCAAGCCATTTTTTGTCCAAAGCAACTAGCTCTACCTTTTATTTCAGCAAGCATAGGAAATGTCTTCCACTTATAAAGTGTGCCTTGAAAAGAAAAACTGTATATTTAGAAACAGAAAGGTTATTTTTAGGCTTTAAAGTCCGAGGTGAATCCACAGAGTTGGCAGGTAGAAAAATGGGGCTGTTAAACTTATAAATGGCATTAAATTTTGAAGTTCTTTATCATAATGATATGTTTCTGGACAGTTTTTAGTAACAGTCAGATAGAAGCACCTCCCTAAAGGCAGTAGATGGCATCCAAACCTAAGAGTGTCACAGTCATTCCCTAAGAATTGCACAGTAATTATTAGTTCCCAGGCTGGCTTTTATTTGAGGCATACTTTGCAATTTCTAAGCTCAGTAAAGACTAGTTTATTTTCCTGAAGTTAAAATACAATTTGATGTTACATAAAGAGTGAGGTACTAGATTTACATATCACTGCCTCCTGTTTCACTTAATAGAAACCCTCATTTCAGTGAAGACCAGCAGTTTTGTGCCTGTATTTAGTAACCAACATCTTTAGCACTGGTTTAAAGTATTTAGTCTTCTTGCAAACATGAGTCTCCCTGAAGTTAATGGCAGCTGAAAGCAGGCTGGATCCTGTAATGCTGCATGCTGTGCAGTGTCCTCAGAAGTGCTTTCTCCTATATTGCAGGGTCTGCTCAAGAGGGCTCTGTGAATAGATGTTCAGAAAGTTGGAGACTGCATTGGCAAGCCCTAGTGCAGAGCATTCTTGTTGTAGTCAGCCACAGGCAGTGGCAATATGATTGTGATAATACAGGGTAGTTAATAAGCAGCTTCACAAACAAGATCACCAGAGCTGCTTGGCTCTCATTTTTTTTTAATTTTACATATATTTTTCCTTTTTTTTTTTTTTTTTTTTTTTTTAACCAGAATCATATGACAAATGATGTGCCTTTTTCATACAAGATATGAAAGATATATGGAGTTTACCAGGGAAGACAGTGGTAAGAAAATGTATGCACTGGGGATCTTTCTTGTATTTTTAAATGTTGTGCATAAGAAAATGCATCTAAAAAATAAAAATTGTTGAGAATCTAAGGGTAGTTAATATGGATTTAGAACTAGATCTTCTCATAGAACCATAAAATGTCTTGGGTTGGAAGGGACATCAACGACTGTCAAGCTCATCAAGTTCCAATGCCCCTGCCAACAGGCAGGGCTGCCAGCCACTAGATCAAGTACTAGACCAGGCTGCCCAGGGCTTCATCCAGCCTGGACTTGAACACCTCTAGGCTTCATCCACAAACTCTCCGGGCAGCCTGTTCCAGCACCTCACCATCTCTGTATAAAAAAAAAAATCCCCCTTACATCTAACCCAAGTCTCCCTTCCCTTAGGTTAAAACCATTAAGCCTGTTTTTGGTGGGTTTTTTGTTTGTTTGTTTGTTTTTTATAGAAGACAGAGATTTAGGAGCATAAGTACTATATTACATTTAATATAGATTTATCACATTGTGCTATCTCTTAATGAACTAGTAGTTAGTAGATGTATTCTAGTATATGTACTTTACTTCAGGTGAACTACCTCTCACAAACACACTGAGCAACTAAGATATGTGCTGAGATAGTCTTCTAGGAAGATACCCAAGGTTAAGCCCATTGCTTAACCTTGCCCATTGCAACCTTGATTCTGCAGATGGTACATAAATGTGGTGCTGTTTGTAGCACTGTGCCCAATGGATACAGTACTGAAGCTTTCACCATTTTAACCAGTTGCATGACATGTCTCTTGAGATTGGTACAAATCTTAAGAAAGAAATATGCAAACTAAACTTCTGTGCAAAGGAAAATAAAAAAAATATTGGTTTCAGAAAATATTCAGGAGCTCCATCTGCAGGAAGTATTTGGTAGCTCTTTGCATCTGGACAATCTTAATACTTCAATAATTAAAAGAACATTATAAAGCTTTTCTCTTCTCCTTTTAATTTTAATTTCAGGAGCTGCCTAAGTATTTGGCTCATTTTGTGCTTGTTTCTAAGAACCTGTGTATCAAGTCCTCCAAAACCCAACTTTTTACTGATACTGGCTGATGATCTTGGTATTGGAGATGTGGGTTGTTATGGCAATGATACTATCAGGTAAGAATTCTACAAAATAAATTGCCTATCCTGGTAAATTTCAGTGGGAAAAAAAAACCCACAATGATGGCAGTATTAGAAAATTTCTTATTAACAGACCAGTTTATCTAGATACACTTCTTTCCAAAGCATGTTTAAAGTAAATGTTCTACATTTCTATTGGAATAAAAACTACACAAGCATGCTTGAGTGACTTTCATGAACTTCTAATTTTCAGTATGTATAGTCAGAAATTTATAAATGTGTATGTGCCTCATATTTTTCAGATATGTGTATAGTTTGTATGTATGTAC